AAATGATGGAAGTATCCTCTATCATCCAAGTGAGATAGAGAATCTGAAAGAACGACGTAGATTAACGACCAAAAGGTCAGGGAAAGGCCAAAAAGTTGAAGATCAGATGGCCCGGGCATCTGCTGTATCTAAACGAGAAACGGTGGGCAACAGCCATTTGTCAACAAACTGGGTTCTACGGGATGTCAAACGCGCAGCGGTAAGACTACTGTGCCGATGATCAGAGCTCTTCAGAAAAACCCTAGAAGAAAGATATGATGCTCAGTGAGTCCTTAGAGCGAGCGGAAACAACTGGTAGACTCTTGTTCGTGAGTGGGAAAAAGGCGCAGCAGCAAGAATAGCGGGTCGATAATCAATATCTTTGATGAATATCTTGAAAGGATACATAGCTCACCGACTCCTTAAAGAATAGAAAACTCGTTGAGTACACTCTTTCATGTGACAGAGGAAAATGGAGGCTATGGGAGTCTACTTGACTTCCTGGTGATCAACCGGAACAATGGTGATATAGGTGATTGAAATACAACTTGCCATTCGTTCATTCCTCGGAGAATGGCATGCGAACAGAAAGTTAGTATCAAGTTGTTTTTGACCACTAGACATCCCGCTCCGCACATGAGCCTCGATGGTGTAGAACCAAGGATTGTCTCAATAAGTAAAGTTCAAATTCCAGGACAAATGAGCAACGGTTTTCCGGAACTGCCTTATGATTCGTCTTCATCATGTGTGTAATAACATCGTTCTGCAAAACGAATAATTCCTGGGGTTTGCGAAGCTGTTTTCTGATTCAGGCTGATCGACTCCTAAAGTTGAGTAATGCTTATGGTACCCTATTCCACCAAAATCTCACAAACACTAGAAAAGGATCTAGTTCTTGTGGATGTCTAGTTTCAGCTTACGCAGAGACAAGACCACTTCTGAGATCCACTAACGGCGAGCGTGGGTGGAGTTGAAGACACATTGTCGTCTGCAGTGACGAATTACATCAAATGTCTTTTTTCGTGCACAAGAAGTGATGGTCCACAGATGTTGACTGGACACCTTTTAATTAACTGAGTTGATGATGAATCCATGTCGAGCAAATCCTTCGTAGTCCTTTAAGACTTTTATAACGATACCAGAATATCGACTTAACTAAAGCCATAGCTATCAATCTATCAGTAAGAAAAAATCGATGCAAGGATAATTCGAAGTAGACAGTTCGGAAATAACTAATAAGCAGCCAAGCAAAAACATTTCACACTGAACCTTCACCGAACCAGCCGTTGCCATACGATATCCCGCCTACAACCGACTGTTATCGATTCACGTGGGAGAATCGCCGATGAGAACTTGCACCCTCGATGAACTGCACCACACTCTAAACCGAGTTCGTCTTAACTTTTGACGTCGGCCCCAGCAAGAATTTGAGCTTTTCGTTCACAATAACGAGAAATTCGGAAGATGACTCTACTCTACTCACAGGAATTTAACCTCTTTGTCTCTTTTGCCGACCATCGTTTTACACATTAATCATGTGTTCATGAATGATATAGAAAAATCGTGGAAAAGAGATAGAACATGAGTGCTCAAAATTTCAGTGAGGTGATTACGGAGCGGAATTCGACGTTGAAAGCATATGTGACCAGAAACGAGGAGACACTGCCAGGACTGGTAAGTTTAAACCAATTCAGCAAAGTAGCATCTATGCAAAAGTGTTAAATGCACAAAATTTATGTAATGAAGTCATAAAAACGGAAACAAGTTTTCCTAATATTGGTATGATAAATCTGACCGGGATCTGAGGAGAGCGACAAACAAAGGGTGCTTGTTCGCGCTATTTTCTTGTCCTTCATGAATTACTTTAGGCAGAGTGTTTGTAGTTCTGTGACAAGTGTCGGTCCATATAACCTAGAGAAAACATTCTGCTAAAAAACATCAGAAAGCGGTGGTGGGTCAATGGATCAGATTTTAGTAAACATTGAACCATTCCATTCAGTGTGAGAGCTTATGCTGATAGGAGTAACGGTGGTGAAGACGTCATCTCGGTAGTGATCAATCTCGGTCAGTTCGAAAGGTCATCGTGAGAGACAACACCATGTAATCGCTTTCCCGGAAATGTTCATGGTCCCATTAAAATGACCTGGTTAGGGAGCTTGTTGGAGTTTGATATCACAATTCAATGTAGTTCTCACGAGGTTTTTCAAAGATCACGATGAAGATGCTTCAAACTCAACATTAATGAAACTGTCCAAAAAGAAAAAGAAGTGAAAACTAAAACGTTAGTAAGCGACTAAGTTCGGAACATTGGGTCTCATTCAAGGGATTCAAGAAAAATTAGGTCAGTCAACGGCGGTCGCATGCGGGCGGGGGAGCGGTGACGGCTTGATGAATGGAGACAACAATTTCTCCTCGTTAGAACAGTATATCACCAATAATGTCATACTTGCACCATTCAGTGAACACATTCATGGAAAAATCCCAGTATCATCCTCAGGTGCTACCGAGGGAGAGGTGGACTGATATTTCGAAGGACCACCATAAGCGATAAATGGTCTTTTTGTGAAGGAAAAACCCTTAAATAGGCAATACGGGAAGATCATTAACGAATGGCTTTCTATTCGATTCTTCCTCATGGTTATTATTAAATATTTTCAATAAGAAACTAATAACGTACTAAGAGATCTGACCTCTTAAACTGTACGACCTCTATCGTTCCCTCGGCTCGATTCGTTGAGAAGTTGAGTGTAGGTGAATACCTACGACTGGGCGTGACCTCTACGGGAATCATGGGAACATAGTTGCCATTTTCAACTTCAAACCAACCTATCTTGGCTCATTGTGAATTTTATTAGTTACAATAAAAACTACAAGCATCCACAAGCCATATCCTGCAGGACAAAAGTTCCGTTCTTTCATTTCACCATGATGAGCATCTTTCCCCACTTTATTGCTTCAAGACTCATATCTCGAACATGAGAGCGAATGAACAAGCAGGATTCCGTCCACCGCAACAAGATGACGTTGCCGAACGCATTGTTTCTGTCTGCAGGTGCCGCTACTGCGTCGGAGAATCCAAAAACTGAGGTTTCGTTACATGTCTAGATTCGAAAGCACACTGTATGAAAATTTTATTTGCGATTTGGGCGATAGAGCAAAGTTTCATCTATGAATCTATGAAGTTCTAAACTTATAAAGCGCTTCAGTTATCGAGAAATTACCGTTATGAAAGGGTTAATTTGGTTTCTATTAGAATATCAGAGAACCGTGCCAAGAAGTTTCCCAGCCGTGACGCTACAGACAGCCGCCAGCGTTTTTTTGTACCGTTGCTGTCATGCGACAAGAATTTCCCCGAGATGGTAACAATTCCAACGATTGGTGACCTATCAGATGTGATGAGCTAAATCTCTAATGAATAAACGATTTTTGCCGCAGTGGTCGAAGTCGATTGGCCATAGTCATTCGTTTGAGCGATTTTCTATTCCCGAACACTTGGCTCGATGCAACGATGAACACCGACATCGCGACTGTGGACAATCGCCTGCGTACCAACGACTCGGATCAACGTGACTCTGAGGAAGGCGAAGGCGCTGGAACGCACGCCCATAAAAATTTTGTAGCATCTTAGCTGAATCTTCCATACCAATATAGATTAGTCATGCCAAGGTTAAACGAAAGTCGATTTTTATAGTACAGGGATTCCTTATGCCTACAATTCTTTGTGAGATAAGGCAATAGTAGTTAATTCGTTGTGAATGACGACAGGAAGGATACGAATGTGAACGTATTGAACAGACCCAATAAATTGTTTTTGCAAGGAAAGCGACCTGCAACTAACTATAACATCTTGTACACCCATTTATTGATCCATGGAATTGAACATGAAATGAGCAAGCAGTGTTATGAACAGGAATGAATTTGAACCACCTATTACTGAGACGGATATCTCAGGCTTTCAGAAGTTTTCAATACCTATTACGACAAAATAACTTTGAAATAATTCTATTACCCAGATAGAAAGCAGAAAAAAGTAGAAAATTTGAACATAAAACGATCTGCGAACCTCTTTAGCACGAGTTTAGTAGATGGACAGAATTCCTAAAAAGTTGGAGTAAATCAAATCAAATTTCAAACGGCGGTGTTCTGTATTCCAGGACTGAACGTGTCAGTCAGGGCTTTGCCAAGAAAGACACAGGCACTTCAAGTCTTAAACATTTAACTTGTCCTCTGTTCTAGGATGAAAGAGGTTTTTCCGCTGATGTCCAGGGGTTTCTCTGTGCATGGGAGTGAAGGAATTCAGTGTGATGCCGACGGAGATACCCTTGCAGCTGCACGGAACACGTGGGCGTCGTCGTCGTCATTCCGACTAGGACGCATTCGTGCATTCTTCTGCAGATTTATCTAGAACTTTCAGCCACGCACAATAAACAATCCTTGTCTGAAGATCCTGACGAAGAAAATACCTAGTCCGTCCACTTAAAGAACGCCTACAATCTTAATAAAACGTGATTACAATGTCAAGAAAATGTTGAATATTCTGAACGCGATATGAAACAGTTAATCGGCATAGTGGCATGGTTAGGAACTACCAAAACAGTGGTCTTCACTAAACACTAAATAATCGTAACCAGGATTTCTGGCACTAGAGAATTCGTCTTTTCCTAATAGTTATGTTAGAAACTTTCGATATTTCATAAACTTATTTCAGATCTTACGATGACTAAAGAGAAGATCCAAATTTGATAAGTGGTCATTAAGCAATTGTGACTTCGATTATACCAATGCAGTATGCAAGCTATAGATAAGAGAACAAAGAACATAAGGTAACACAACAGTGGAAAGAATTTGTTTTTTATGCAAATGACGTCCATAGATAGTGTCGATTAGCATTGTTCGTACGGGTGTCTACACCATAATAATTAATCGTACCATTAAGATTTAGCAAATCGAGGCTATTTAAATGAATGATCGAACATATTTCAACAAAACTACCTATTTTATAAAATGTGAAGTCAGTTAAGTTAGTGGATACCTCTCGTTGGTGGTCTGGCGTTTCTAGGCAGAGTCGGGAAAGTCAACATGCCGCGAGAAATGTTGTATTTCATAGTATTCGTTCTACTGGAAGTCACTGAGGCACGGCGATAGTTGGGACGAATCGAAAGCGACGGTGTCGATGGTGAAGTATTGTGCATTACTGAGTTCCTTCTCGGAGGAGGTGTTGGTGCAGTCATGCCTGCTCGAAACGTCACCGAGTCCATCGGGACGTCGTCCGCAAGGTGACGAATTGGTGGTTTCGGAGGCGGTGCCAACAGTCCGCTTGTCACGATGTTATCATCCATAGTTTTTTGGGAGTTAAGTGGCTCTCGAACGCTGGCTTTCTCTGTGGTAGAGATTAGTTTTACTGAGATAGTGCGTACGCGTTGATTATCCATTGCTTGCTCTGGGTTTTTGAAAAAAAAGTCCCTAGAAATGTTATTGGTTATCGTAACTGCACCATCAGGTGAAATAACAGTTGGAATGGACACATTTTTCGCTATAGTGTTGGTTTGAGAGACAACCGGGCCTTCATTTCGATGTTCGGAAATCTGCCTCGTATAGGAAATAGAAAGACTGGGGTCGTCTTCAGTGCAGTTGTGGTCTTCATCAGAAAGACGATTAGTACGGAGCATTTTCAGTGACCCAGATTGGGTTCGAACTTGTTCAAAAGATAGTTTCTTTTTGAAATCAGCTGCATCCGTATAAAATTCTGCGTGAGTTCGCTGATCGATTGATGAGTGGTCGAAGTCGTCACAAGGAGTCACATTGCTCTCACCCATAACGTCTCTTCGTTTTGAGACATTCTCAGTGTTCTGCACTGTAGATCCATCCACAGCACTGGTTTTATAGCCGGATTTGTGCTGAAAGTTCGTGCTAACCTTATTGTCTGGAACCACAGAATTTCGATTGTTGGTCGCAGAAGTTCCTTCTTCCATAGCTTCAACGTAGTTATGATTCGTAGTTCTCCCGTGCAGCGAAGAGTGGCCATTGAAATCCTCAGAATTTGCAGGCTTTTCACTAGGGTTGGTGTCGGAAGAGTCAATAAAGGGAATCTTGGAAATGTCGGCTACAATAGTATTGCACTGTGACATTACAGTCTTAAATGTCTGGCAGAATAACAACGAGTAAGGATGATTTGGACTGGCCTCAGTGAGGGGAACGGCTCAGAATGAGCGCAGTTTGGAAGCAATACTGTCGCTCTCACGGAATGTCACTTTTGCATCGAATTTTTTCGCTGTATCAGTCGAGATGGGAAAACTGATAATGCAGCGAAGAAAAACATCTGGTATTATGGAATGGATTCGGTATTAGTCATTAATAAAGAATTAGTACCCGGTTAGATAAAGCCTTAAAGAAAATAGAACAATTCGAACAGTCTGTACAAGACCAAAATAGGGAAGAAAAGGGACATTTTGAGCAGTTCGTGTCAGATCAAGGCAGAAAAAGAGAACAGTGCGTTAAATCTTCAACTTTCTTCACATGTGGTGTATGCAGAAGAGTGAACATTGGAGAACAGAGCACACTCTACGACAGTATCCACTACTTTGTAGAAAAAACAACAATCCTTAGTAGCAGTTTGTTGACCTGGTTTGTCTAGCTGCTAAAATAAGATAATGTGCTAATCAAACCACAACAGCGAAATCCCATGAAATGGAAAGCAGTCATAACTGAAAAGTAGAATCCCTACACTCTTAATCTTCGTTACCATGGTTTCTAGGCACTGAAAAATGAACTTCAGATTTGCATGCGAACTTACCGCACTGAGAGTTGCTGGCCTGTTTCGATTGTAACGTGAGCATTTTGGTTCCGCACTGATCCGTCCGATGTTTATGGACTAACATGAACGTGGTGATTGGGGATTGGATCTGCCGGCAAGTCTGGAGGCTCGATGCACACGCAGCCCCCATAAGTGTGCCAAGTGGGTGATGACTGGGTGGGCTACGAAGCACACCGTTGTTCACGATTCTATCTGCACATCATCGCTACCATCAACGATCGATGTAGGGTTGTAGCCGTGCCGACCACGCCTGCTTTCAACAATAGTGCCCAGTACTTCAATAAACTGACTTTCTTTCACCTATCTTCGACGTGAACAATCAATGTATTTCTTTGGATTGTTCGGCCCATACGAGGTTGCTATATAATTTATAGGTTATAACAGTTACAAATATCAGAGGCGCGTGTGGCGCATTGGCTGGAGACTCCACTGCGACATACACGTGGAATCGATCTCAGTGCCCATGGCACACCAAGCCTTCTATCACTCCAGGGTCGGCAAATTGGCGCCAAACTTGTCTGGGAGGATAGCAGCACTGGCTCGATATATCGGTAGTCCACCGCGAGTCATTGTAAAGGTTAGACATGCATTCATTCACCTCCAACGATACTTAATAAAGTCAAATGCATAACGCATCACTCAGGGATTGATGAACGCCGACAGCTCTTTTAGCTTTAAACAGTTACGAGCTAATTAATGGTTTAATTTGTAATGATCGAGTTATGTAACAACCTCGTGTAAGCTAAACACTTCAAAGGAATATATTGATACTGATCAGTGTCATCGAGAAACTTCGCTGGAATCTGCTGTCCAATGCATTAATGCAAACCCGATCCACTACAGTTAATAAACTGGGTAGAGGCTTCCTTCGCTATCACTACCTCATCATTGCTGTTTTAAACACCCACTGTATACGAAATCATTAATTTTCGCTCCTAGGTTATTTAACTCGCTGTAAAACGACAAACGGTCAGCGTTAGTCAGTCCATTAGAGATGAGCCACACATTTAACCCATTGCACCGATGACTGAATGCATATTTTTTCCACACATTGATTTTCGCTGGCCTCCCAATGTATGGTAGGTCCGTGCTTCTACTCTCTCAGACAAGTTTGGGACTAATTTTTCAACCCTGAAGGACGAGTGCATGGTGAGCGCAGTACGCAGAATCGAACTAATGACCATATGTGTATTATATGATACCTCTAACCACTGCTCTATATGCGCCGGACGTCACAACAGGAGACGAAAAGAAAAAAGAGAAATATGTAAAAGATTATGAAGAGGCCAGCTTAGAGAGGAACAAATCATAGGGCCAAATGCAGGTGCTGAAAGCCATTTTTCACGACGTAGGGCAGTGACAGTGCCTACAACTCAGACGATCTTCGTGGCAAATTTAAAGCGACTCAGAAACCATTCCCGCGCGTTTGTCCAAGTGCTTTTTGTTTCCAATTTTATGAAGTTATCGAGCAAGCGTAGAATGGTTAAACTTTCATTTTTCTGCTGTATCTATAAGTGTTTCTTCACTTCTTGAATAACTGACTTCTAATCGGTTGTTGCTAAAGGAATTAAGACGCCCGCTCTCAGCCTTATTTTTCCAGAACCACTTGTTGTTGTTACGAAACGGCTGTTGGAAGCAAAGGATTAGATCTAGGCTGAGAACAGTTCCAACTTCCTTAGGTCTCATGTTCAGCACATCGAAGGAAATTTTTCCGGCCACTTTCCTAATCTGGCAGTATGAAATAGATAAAAGTGGAAAATGAAGGCAAATCCATTACCATACAGCCGAACGGCGAATGTCGTAATATGACAGTGCACTGCATGAACATGTTGAGTAAGACTTTCGAAAAATAGCACTCAAGTTAAGAAAAAGTAGAAATCATGATAGATTTTTCGAATCAATATAATGCAATTGCTGTGAACGGCATTTGTCGTCGCATAATACAAAGTAGGATGACGCGTCTGAGGTTCCAAACGTAACCAACGGATGAGCCATGAACTACATAAGAATCGTTAGCAAAACACCATGTGAAACTTTGCCGCTCGTTTCACTAGTATGAATTGCGTCCTCATCATAGGTACCAGATGTCAGCATGGGATCTCCAGTAAAAAAAAAGTGCAATCTATCTAACATCTTTTTCCATGCCAATAATCTTTCGAAGTGTAAAGACTAGTTAGTGCGCTATAATTAATGTTGAGTTTGCTTTTGGTAGCAAATAAACAATTCTTCTCATTGTTTCAAAAGGTGACTACGGGATTCTAAACCGATTATGGCGCTGCTGGGAGACAGCAGCAGTTATGTGGCGTCACGCCGGTGCAGTACTTGTAGTAGAAGTGACTTCACGTTACCTGCATCGTCGCTATGGTCGATGGAATCGGATGGCATCTTCCGCACGTGCCACATTGTGAGAAGCAGTTGAACGAGGTTGGCGAATCGTGTGCTGCCACTGCTGGATTATGGGAACGTGGCGGTGTTTGTGTGAGCCACTCGACCCTCAAACCCTCCTCCCATCAACAGCGCACTGAATTTCAATGACGTGACCCATCTATTTTCGTGAAAATTCGTTTTGTCCGAGGTTCGAGCTCGTATTGTTTTAAAACACTAGAATATCTCCGTCATGCTTCCCAGTCTGCAGTTTAAAACGTGTTTCATGGAAAAAATTCTAGAAAAAGACAGCTAGCATCATTCGTCCAAAAAAGGTATGTTCACGATAGACTTCATGAGTGCATCTGTTTGATAATTGCTATTGAACAGATTGGTAACGTTTGAATCTGTGAAACAGTGGCTACCTATTACTACTGAAATAAAAGTCATCCTTAAGAAATAAGTGTTTTGAAATGCAGACCTTACTACGATTGCATATTAGTAGACATTGATTTGATTGCTATCGTTGTTCGTCTGTTTTGACAACGCTTTGTTCATCGAAGCTCAAATAAAGTCCCATCAAAAATTCCACATTGGGCTCTTATCCACAGTCATCAAAAACCGTCCTACTACTGTCCTTTCGAATTTTGACATTTGTTTCTCCAATTAAGTTTTCATGCCTCTTATTGTATACCATTCTAAAGCACAGAATTCCTATCATTTATGCTATCACAGTATTTTCGTCTCATATTTACATGTGGTGCAGTGGTTAGATGTGTCCTGCAATACACACGTGGTCATTAATTCAGCCATGTCCCTTGGGCTCAATACGCCTTTAATCCCTCAGGGGTTGGCAAATTAGGTCCAGACTTGTCTTTGAGGATAGTGGCATTGAGATGATACATTAAAGTCACCTCAAGTCACTGTGCAGGCCAATGTGCATTCAGCCACGTCTAACGATGCTTGATGAAGTCGAATGCATGACGTGTCTCTCAGAGACTGATCAACGCCAAAAGATTTATTACTTTACATTTAATTGGGTTTACTATAGGCTCTAGTAATAGGAACGAAAGAAGCGCCACGTAAGTGGCTCGTAATACCAGCGTTGCATCTGGCAAGACAATTGCTAGGAAGCATATGGCGGTAGCTTGGCTTCAAAAGTTAGTATTTAGTTGGCATTTGAAATCTGCATTTATAATAAATGATTCGGCTTCTAATCACATTGTAAAGTGCCATGGAAACTAGATCTTCAAGACGGATAAAGTTTAGCGCCTTGATTAAACGAAATAGGGCATATTCCGAATCTAAATTAGCATTAAAAACAGGCTAGCATTACTTCTTCGTATTGGACAAGTGGAGTGAGCTACCATCCTTCCAACTTCTTCCTAAACTCTGATGAGATCATTAACCCATTTCCAACGATGCGTGTTGATTTTAATGCACTTCTTCGTCTAATGTTTATTTTGTCGCGTCAAATTTTTGTTGTAGGCTTATAGAAGCAGTATTTGAAAGGACTATGAGTGCACAAGGTGTTCATTTATGAATATGTGTAGCGCATTGTTGAAAATATAACGACTTTCAATACTTTTTTACACAATCTTCCACGGATGTTGTAAACGACTGGATACATCTCTTTAAGAAGGGCCTCGACGGTCTAAGCACATTGTTAGCTTGAAGGTTTGAAATAGACTTGCGATTTGCTGTATCCTCTAAGTAGATCCTCTAACCGTTCATTAAACATCTCTGAGTAAACAAGTGGGATAACGACTTTCTTTACCTAAACTATGCATAAAAAAGGTGTGCTTAATGTGCTTAAAACGAAAAGAAGTAAAGATGTGTGTCATTTCTGGTTTCTTTAACATGAGGAATATGCTACTATGTGGTCATTTTTGTCAACAAACAGCTCTCTGTCAACTCTTTATATCATTTTCTATGACTTCCGGCTTTGAA